GGAGGAAACATTACAAATAATTTACACCACATAAACATTCTAAGTATAGAATGATATAGCAACAGTTTACAGTATTTGCAACACTACTACAAAATGATTTAAAAAATATTTTTGCTTAAGTAATGGAAGAGAGAACCCTCACCACAAAGCACATGAACAAATAGGTAGGTGCTAACTACAACTGGTTTTAAGAAGAGCAGTTCTTCAAATCCAAAGTCTTCTTCACCACTTGGGATTTAACAGTTTGCTACCTCTGTCTGCTAGAGACTGAAGCCCAATTAATTTTAATGAATGAATCCAGGCTTTTTCCCTGTACAGAGACACTTGTACTTTCCAAAAGAATTCCAAATTTTTCTGCAAGCCAAGTTGTAAGATACTATGTAGTTGTTCAGGCTAAAGTTCCTTCTTTCCATCTAAATGTATTTTCTGAGTCCTGCTAAACAATACCAAGTATCCCACTCCTCCAAATCACAATTTATTTCACTGTTCAACATGTGACTCCACTCCACTGCTCATCTTAAAACAAATCACCCATTCTCCAACCTAAAGCTGACACAGCTGTTAAAAATCTTGCTGCCCACTGCCAACACACCTCCTGCAGCAAGAAAGGTCACAACAAGCACCACTGCTTTCCCACCGTTTACTTCAGAAAACTCCTCACACCCCCTTTAAATCTAGCACTTGACTTTGCTGGGAGTTTCTGACAAGCTGCAAAACAGTTCTCCCACTATGACCAATTCTGAACAGTCAATATGTGAAAATTGTAGTGAAAGTAGTCCACTGCACAGAGATTTGTAGATGTTGAACAAAAGTATGCAAATACCCTGCTGCACTGCAGTGCAAGGTGGTTTCGTGATCATTCTGCACTGACCTAAGTGTGCCCTGCTCCTAAGCAGGGTAAGAGCACCCACCCTTAGCTTCCAGACACGTGTCCCTGACTGCCTTCCCATGTCTGCTCTCGTGCTTGTATAATACTGTGAACAGGACTAGAGAACTAATGCTGCTGAAAACTGATCCCTTTTTTTGAGTGATTCCATACTTCAGCTGGTTTAAAATAATCACCAAGTTGTTCCCTTCACCTTTTTATCAGCAAAGACAGAGAACTAGGAAGTCCTAAACCATTTGCATAGCCATAGAATGTGGCTCTTGTTAGAGAAACTCTACAGAAAAATGAAGATCTGGCTGCAAGTAGGGTGGGTAGGTATAAAGATAAAAATCAAAGAACTGAAGAAACACTTTTATTACTTAGAATGTTTAAGACAGTGAGTGGGAGAGCCAGAGTGAATTTTGTGTACTCATATACAGAGAACAGGCAAAAAAAACCTTTAGAAAAACAGATTAATGAAAACCTTATTTCAAAAGAAATACAGTATTGTAACAGATCAAAGTGTGAACCATTTTATAAGTGATCTGTGCTCTTCTTTTTCCACCTCTCCACTTTGCAGGATACACCACTCCTTCCACCCCTACAAATAAATAAAAAATATCAGAGGACAAGACATTGATTATGTCTCAAGGCGGAGGTGAGAGAAAAGCTGCCCCTCCAGTGCTCCACATCACCTGCAGCAGCACAACCATTCTGTGGGAAGTGGCAATCAGCAGGACAGGAGGCTGGACATTTGAACTGTAGTTTTTTACAATAGAACTAGCATAATTCAACCCTGCAAACCTCCAGCTACTTGCTGGAAAGCAATAAAAATCTCAACAGATCATTACACCTATGCAGAAAATCCTTTCTAGATCCCCGAACTGGAGATCATCCTCATCTTCAGGCTCATCAGACATCACCCAGCTGTCCTGCCAGGCAGCAAATTGCATAATACTTCTCTGATACGCTTCATTGTAAAGTCATGTACAAAAGCACAGAAAAGTAGCAGGGAAAGGGGAGAGTGGCAGCACCTGCAAGCAGGAGGCAGCTGGAGGAGGGCCTGCACATGCAACATCGCTCCCGTAACAACCAAAAGTAATGGTTTCCTGCACCTGAGGCTTTCTGTTGTCTCAGAGTGCTCACCTTGCCTGAGTGTGGCAGGATTGAGCCTGGTCACCAGGCAAGGCAGGAATCTCAACTGGCAAAAAAAATTACTTTCTAGTGTATCTATTTGCAATATTTTTTTAAAAAAAACGTACTGATTTAGGACAGTTTTTCATTTCACTCCTGAATTAGTCACAAATGAACACCCTCCTTTTAAATAATAGTGTCTGCAAAACAAACAGAAAACAAAATTAACAGGCTCTCTGCCTGTTAATACATGAAGCAAACACCACAGCACAGCCAGCAATCATTTCTCTCCACCTGAGCTACAGGAAATGAAGTTTTAGCTCAAACTACTTATGAGCACCTCCTAAAGAAGTAAAGGATCCAGAAGTGCAAGACAGTGGGATTCAAAGTGCTGTCAGCTTCATGTGGGAACTCAGGATGCTAGACATCTCTCAAGTTCAGAACCCTGTAAGATTAAACTAAAATTTCTGCAAAAGCTATGCACCAGTTGTCTGGGTTTTCTTTTTTTTTTTTTTTTAAAAAAAAAACCTTCTAGTAAATACACCTTCATATGCTGCTGTGTTAACCACACAGAGAGCGACAATGAACATGATGCCTCTTGAGATTCAGCTTACCACTTGCCTATACAAATGGAATCACAAATGTCAGGATCTAGATCTTTTTGTGTGTATAAAGCTTTAAGTTGTCTCTATTTCTTGTGGCATCTTACATATGCATATCTACTGATTACAACCCAGAGAAGTTACAGCCACAGAGCAGTTTCATTTTGTTGACAGTGCCTGCCCACACGTGGCCAAAGCAATGCTTAGTTCAGGCATACTGGTGGATTTTATGTTTAATATAAAGTTTAGTAAAGCAGTGTATGCTAAGCTTGAAAAAATTTATAATCTCTGACTCACAGAGATCTGAGTCTCCTGGCTGGCTGATTTACTAATTTTTTTAAAATCCTTAGCCTTTTTCTTACTGACCTCCTGCAGAGTACTCTGGAGCCGTGTGCGGGCTATTGGCCACGCAATATTAAATGGAGAAAGTGGTCAGTGGAGTCACAGTCTATAAAGGGAAACTCTGGAATGTTCTCGTTTCCTTCTCTTCATGCTTACTTTTGCAGAACACAACAAAACACGTTATCTTTAAAACCTTCTTTGTCCTCTGTCTAATTTGGCTGAAATTGATCTTTTGGTGATACATCAGCTGTTTGCATAAATTCTATTTCCAAAGGAAATCAGTCTAAAAGGAGTGAGAAAGCCTTAAAAAAAAAAAAAGTACAGGTAACTTAACACATCAAACCCACTGCATGTGCTGCTTCTCCTTCAGAGAAGATGAAATGAAGAGGAGCAAGATGATGAATGATAGCTAGTTACATTTACTTTGGAACTACAGAGGTTACTAAGTTAACTGTGGTGGTGAGTCCAAGGTAAGATCACTTGTACAGCAGCTCTCTTAAAGGCTACAGTGACTGGATCATGAGTGAGTAACCTTTTCTGCCAGAAATGCTCCAGGAAATACATGAAAATCCAAATGGAAAAACCCAATACTTGTTACAAATAGTTAAAAAAAACCCTTAACTCTGAATTTTCTCCCTCTGTTCATAAATTGAATATGTACATTGGAACAAAAACAGAAAAAGAAAACAAGAGCGAAAGAAAAGGCCAGATATTTTAAATTGCTTCTCCTATTAACAGCACTTCCTGTTTTCCATTCTGGCCCCACTTGCTTCTCCAACTATTCTGCTTATCCAGCTGTTGGTTGTTAAAGATTGTATCTTGCAGCTATTATGTCTCAGAGGAAACGCTTGGATAGGCAATTTAGTTTTTTTTTTTTTCCTATTTAATATGGGAAGGTTTTGTGGCTTTCACAAACAATTGAGACAATTTCCAGTCACAAAAAGATGCCTCAAACCTGCAAAAACAGTAGCTGCACAGAACAGCTGAGGTTGAACAGCTCCTTCATATACCTTGAAGTACATTTCACATGTATGCTTACACAACATGCTTTTGAGATCACTTTGTTTTGCAGTACACTAAATTTGAGTGACATCTATGCCCTAGGATAGCTTATCCTGTCATCAGACAAATTATGTTGCAAGCAATGCTTTAATGACAGAAGCACTTTTGTTACATGCCGTGTCCATGTCTCTCTTTAAGATGCACAAAAAATGTCGAATGACCTGAGGATAGTTACTTTTTACTACATTTACTATAATGTAGTGTTCCCGCCTGTTCCATTATACTTTTTATTTCTTAAGCAATGGCCTTAGAGATCAGTCAGAAGGTAGAGCTTGCAGAGCTCAAGTTGTGACATTCAAACTTTAATGAGCCAGAGACCATCATCTAAAGACAGAAGCTTCTCCAAGGCATTCAGCATGCACTGTACTATTTGGCTCACATAAAGTGAGATGGATAAAACGATGCACTTGCATGCTTATGTGCAGTGGTTTTTTTTCTAGTCTGTGGTTCTTTAGCTCTACAGAACTTCAAGAAATAAATACAAGAACAGTGGATAACTATGGCTCAAGTGACAAAGAATCAGAGACTGGAGTAGCATACATGAGGTCAAATTTAGTCTGGTATGAAGTATACACTACAGAACTCAACTGAGGACATAAAAGAAATTTATTCCTTCTATTAGGCCTGGACTTTTCTAGTCCATAGTTCTATATTCCTGCATGAAAAGATGAAATAAAAGCATCACCTTTTCTTAAGAGCAATACTTGGCAATACAATTTTTTTCCCAGAACTCATTAAAATAGTACACATAAAAACAATTTCTTCTCTGGTTAGTTAGTTTGACACAATCAGAACTATGTAACAAATAAGCTGAAAAATAAAAACTCAACAGCTAATGAGCTTGGCATGGCCAAAAAGTAAGTCGGAAACTGCAAAGACAGTACAAACAGAGCACTGGGCAAAGACATCCACTCTGCAGACAAAATGATCCACACTTCACAGACTACATCCATCCACTAACAACATTCATGGAAGCAAATAAACACAGACTTTACCATCATATCGGCTGGGAGAATCACATGCTTTCTGAGGGGTTGCCACTCGCAGAAATATCTGTTGCCTCCATGAATGCCGTCGAGTCCTTACGGGACTGTCCGCACCAATGGCTTGCTGGCTGTGTTTGGATTCATAGTCACTAAAATTGTGGAACACAGAATAGCTTGTGAGCACGTTACCTGAACCTGCTATTAACAGAGAGACAGTCTTCAGTGAATACAATAGCATGAACCATCAACTAAGGAGTGCAGTGTGCTGTGCACGTGCTGGGTCAAGCTCTCAGTGTGAGGCAGGTGAAGCATGCTTCGGGGCAGCAGGCTTGTACAAGGCTGCAAATATCACTTAGGTTCACCACAGGGGGCTGGCGGCTCTGTGCAAACTGCTTTCTCCAGTTTTAATTGACTTTCAGCTTTCTTTGCAGCAGTGTACTAAACACAACCCATTAAAGACACATACACCACGATGTATCTTTACCATTCTTCTACTTAAATGTCATCCACAAAATCTAGCAATTATTCAAAGGAAACACAAAGAACTGCTGGTGCCTTTTATCAGCACACATCAAGGAGCTTTATAAACACCAACTAAACTTCCAACATTCTGTGAACTAAGTAATATATTCCTTCACACCATACACTTGGAGCAAAACTTTTAACCTTTGTGTTCACAAGACACCATCTCAAATAAGCAACAAATTTGGGAACAGTGTTCAGAAACCTTGGATGTTACTCCTTTGATGTAAACCACAAACTACGTACACAGGTTTTTATTCAGAATATTAAATAATACAATCATAGAATGAATCATAGAATGGTTAGGGTTGGAAGGGACACCAAAGATCATCTAGTTCCAACCCACCTGCCATGGGCAGGGACACCTTCCATTACGCCAGGTTGCTCAAAGCCTCATCCAACCTGGCCTTGAACATCTCCAGGGATGGGGCAGCCACAGCTTCTCTGGGCAACCTGTTCCACTGCCTCACCGCCCTCAGACTGAAGCATTTCTTCCTTACATCTAATCGAAACCTGCCTTCTTTCAGTTTAAAGCCATTGCCCCTTGTCCTATCGCTACATGCCCTTGTAAAAAGCCCCTCTCCAGCTTTCCTGTAGGCTCCCTTTAAGGACTGGAAGGCTCCTATAAGGTCTCCCCAGAGCCTTCTCTTCTCCAGGCTGAACAGCCTCAACTCTCTCAGCCTGTCATCAGAGGAAAGGTGCTCCAGCCCTCGGATCATCTTCGTGGCCCTCCTCTGGACCTGCTCCAGCAGCAACATGTCCTTCTTGTGTTGGGGACTCCAGAGCTGAATGCATTATTCCAGGTGGGGTCTCAGGAGAGCAGAGTAGAGGGGCAGAATCACCTCCCTCGACCTGCTGGCCACGCTTCTTTGGATGCATCCCAGGATACAGTTGGCTTTCTGGGCTGCAAGAGTACATTGCCAGCTCATGTTGAGCTCCTGGTGTTTCTGCCTGACTTCCTCTTTGTTGGGATGCGCTGCTCCTGAGCTTGGAGGAGGTGATCCTTGAATATTAGCCAGCTTTTCTGGGCCCCTCTTCCCTCCAGGGCTTTATCCCATTGGTAGTCTGTGAAGCAGATCCCTGAAGAGGCCAGAGTCTGCTCTCCTGAAGACCAGGCTAGTGAGCTTGCTGTGCACCCTCCTCCTCGCTGCCCTAAGGACCTCAACTCCACCATTTCATGGTCACTTCAGCCAAGGCTGCCCTTGAGCTTCACATTCCCCACCAGCTCCTCCTTGTTGGTGAGAACAAGGTCCAGCATAGCACCTCTCCTGAGCTGACTTACTGGCTAGAGTGGCTGGAATTCTGCTGCTCTTCACGTGCTGTCAGCTTGCCTTGATCAAGCCTGATGTTATCCCTCTCCCCACCTCAAGTCTAGTTTAAAGCCCCGTCAATGAGTCCTGCTCGCTTATGAGCAAAGACCCTCTTCCCCCTTTGAGAAAGGTGAATCCCATCTAGCATCAGCAAGCCTGGTGCTGCATAGGTCATCCCATTATCGAAAAACCTACAATGAAATATAGTGAACAGCAATGCTGTTTTCCTATTAAAAATTCCACTAACTTTCACCTGTTACATCTTTAAACTAGTAATTGCTTTATTCCAGCCATTGGTTACATTGTTGCATAAGCCTTTCCTTGAACCTGAAAGGGACAAATGAACTTCAAACAGTTCTGGCAGCAACTGGGAGGAGCATTTTACAGTCACCCTTTCCGTCCAATTTGAGGACACTGACACTGTTTAGGATGAACCATGTATATTCTCTTAACTGAAAACTGCTTGTGGGAAAATGACTGAAATTGGAGG